GGTGATGAACTCTCTCTCAGAGTGTGCTCCTAAGATCTAGGAAGCCTATACTTTAATTTGAGCCTGAAGTGTTCTAAAGTATCCAACTTCAATTAAGTGTCTTTCAACTAATACTCGAACATTTTTAGATCAATCTTAGCTCCCTATCAGACTCCTTAAATTTAGGGGTAAACCTATAATTTTGGCAAGTGTTGTGAAATGTGTTTCAATCCTAATTAAAACAATTAAGTTCAGGTTTATTCAAAGCTTAAAAGACCTAAATGCAAGTCTACTGGTCTTTCAATCCATGTCCCTAATCGTCATTTAAACTCTTACTTTCTTCCAACTCTCAACTATTCTTCCAATTGCAATTTCATCTTTCTTATGCAAAAGGAATGGTGAATGGTCGGCTATCCTATTTCTTCTTAGATTTTATCATCTCAACAGATCAAATTTCATTTTTAATTTCCTCTTCCTTTCTCTTTTCTTCATATTTTTTTTAAGACCATGAATCATTTCTGAAGAAAATTAAATCAGAAATTCTCATTTTTTAGCTTCACCGTTAAAAAAAAAAACAAAATAAAAGAAAAGAGGCCGATCCACTTTTTAAAATAAAGTCAAATCAGTAAAGCCGGGAGCGAAATCGTAAGTGCATCGGCCTAGAAGCGTTTACATTCGTTAAAAAAAATGTCCGAATCACTTTCAAACAGAGATTTAAAAGCCTCAAAATATAACTTAAACCTTCACGAATAAAGCTTCAAAATGTGACGAGTAAAACTTTAAAAACGTAGTCCAAACATACCACTAGAAAGTGCTCTAAGTACGGTTCATCCAATCAATGAACCGACCTTCACTGCAAAGGTGAATATTCACAACATTAAGATTTGCAGCTAGAGGCAATAAAGAGGAAAACTAATCCCAAATCAAACATTTTCAATCATAAAAGAATTAAAGGAAAAGATCCACATCCAGGAGAAATGAAAAGAAAGCTAAATCCGAGCCAAATACAATACTGACAACAACAATGAAGCTCATGGCTAAAGGCAGAAAAGAGGGAAAACAAACCCCATGCACGACCACGAATAGTGAAATAGAACCCTCATGGGTATGATCATTACATTGCCTTTGATATACATAGGAGAGTGAATGGGCAAGCACGGCAAAGAAAAGGAAAACAACCCAAAAACAGGCTTCCAAATAGCTCACGGGTAAGGCTCAAGGTAAGGCTAAAATCACCACAAAGCCAACCATCAAATAGCCACCAAACAACATCTATATGGGCCCAATCACCAACTACATGAGTGCAAATCAATCACCTATATGGGCCCAATCACCAACTACATGAGTGCAAATAGTAATTACAACACCCAAACAACTAACTACAACAATCAATGACACTTTTAAGCTTCCAAACTGCTCTAAACAGCAATTCTGAACCTCCTATAGCCAACAACAGCTTCCTACAGTTTTGCTATAGCAAAGCTAGCAGTTTAAAAACTCCCAAACAGTCATTAAATTAGCCCCAAACAAACTTACGGGCAGAGCCAGGAAAAGGGGCAACCTGAGCCCAATATATGAGCCCAATAAACCTGAGCCCAATATAAAGGCAAACCAAGCTCAAGAAATAGTGCAAAACAGTAAGGGACTTCAACCTACATAAATCACCAAATCAGAGCCCAAACCGAGCCCAAGAAAGGGGCAAACCGAGCCCAGCACAGGGGCAAACCGAGCCCAAGAAATGGTCTAGACAGTAAGAGATTTCAGCCAACATAAATCACCAAAACAGAGCCCAAATCGACCCCAAGAGAGGGGCAAACCGAGCTTATGGGAAATAACATCTAACATTTAGTTATTTCAAAAGAACTAAAATCAAGTCCCATTAAAAGTAGGAAAATAGAGAATAGTTTCCAACATTCATTAAAAACCGAAACCACTAAATGGGCCAAAACAAAATGTACCTTTCAACTATAATATCAGTCTCATAGAACCAAAAATCAAATCATCCAAATAAGTGAAACAGATGAAAACATTTCCAGCCAAGATCCAATTTCAAAGAACCAAAACCGAGCCAACACAGGGGAGGCAAACCGAGCCCAACAGAAAGGGCAAAAACGAGCAGCATAGAGGCTAAATTGAGCCCCACACAGGGGGCAAAATAGAGCTATTAAAATCAGGCCTATCAAAATCTCATGGTTCAAGATGTTGCATTCAAAATATATTCTGAATAGTAACAAGTAACAGGAAATATATGAGTGTGCATACATCCCTAAAGCCAACGTATCTCCTCGTTAAAGATAAATTCTAGCATGAATTATAAATGGGCAAATCTTGCTCCAAAGCCATGTATTTCAAGCAGAAAATAATGCAAGCCAACTTTCTCTCCTTTTTTTTTAACAAAACTCATCCTTCATTTATCTACGAATTGCTTTAGCAAGGAGCAAATAAAGAAAGCCACAACTTCCAACATATAAGTATAGAAATAGCAGGAGTTTAAGGAGAATATTTGCATGTGAGAATAAGCCTAAGTATGCTTTCTATGTATCTCGAGCAGAAAAGCAGAAGAAAGTAACCAAAACATGCTCCATTTTAATATTTCCATGGACTATTTTATGCTTAAGTTTCAGAACAAGCTTCAATTTCGCTTCCATATTTCATGTCATCCGAAATAGTGCAAAATAGAGGAGAGGAGAAGAATACTTCTTTCTATGCAAACTTAAAGCAGAGAAAGTATAAGGTAGATTCAAGAAAAGCACTCCAACAGTAGCCCACAAATACTCCTCACGGTTTCCAGCTCACGGTTTGACAAATCCAAACCTCAAGATCCTCGAACAACAGAGGGGAAGAAGATCTCCTCTCGAACAACAAAATAAAAAGAGGTAGCTTTCCTAACAGTGAAGAAGAAAGACAGAAAACACCAAGTTTCTCTAAAAGCTCTATTCTCTTAAAAACTATCATCTTTTTTTTCTCTCAGAACTTTTTTTTAACAAAAGAAAACCAACCCCCTAATCCTCACGGTAAACCAATAGCCAGAGAAACGAATAGAAAAAGCCACCTGTTTGCCGCCCTAGCCGACCAATCGACAAGAGGAAAGGAAGAGTAACAATAAAGATGGAGAGCGTATAGCCTCGAGTAGGAGGAACGTCGGCCAGCCCGCCTCCTCCAATTGGAGAGTCGAACGACTGTCGTGCCACGTAGAGAAGGGGAAGAGACGGGAGGGGGAAGTGTCGCCGTGTGGATCTGCCGTGGAGCTAGGGCACGAACGAGAGAGGGAGCGGGGCGAGCCACAGGATCGAACCCTAAGATGGCTCGAACGAAAGTTTAAGCATGCAGGTGGTGTCGTAAATAAGGCTTAGGGTTTTAATAATATAAATGATAAAAATATAAAATAATTTAATATTTCTTAAAAATAAAATTTAATTCGTACTTTTCAACCGTGCGTCAAAACATAACAAAATTAATATCGTTTTTATGTAATTCTGACGTTCCTGACGCGCTGGCGCGGTCCGTTTTACTGTCGGAGGTCATTTTGACGAATTCATCGATTTAATTGCAAATTTTCTCGTGTCAGAAATATGGCAATATGAATGTCATTTCCTACCAAAATTGGTATCCCGGACGTGTTGGCATTGTCCATTTTGTCGTCGGAGGTCGTCCGGAGAAGTTTGCATTTTTACTCGTCCTTTAGGCTCAATTGAAGTCCGATCTCGTGCAATTTAGTGAATTTGGTGCATTTCGTGTGTGTATGTGACGATAAAGTCGTGAGAAGGTTTTCCTAGGGCTTGAAATCCTATTGGGAACTTCTCCCTGAGTCTTCACATAATAGTCCTTAACCGCTCGTACATAAGACGATGGTTTTGGGTCATAAATGCTAGACATTATAGGAAATATAGAAAGGGTATTTTGGAATTTCTAAAATGATAGGTACCAATTTCTAGTTTTCTAAGATGTTCAATAGGAACTCCTAGAGCTAGATCCTAGGCTCTATGAAGAAAAAGGAAAGACCTCACAAAAATGAGGTCAACATGCATGCTACACACTACATAAATGCTACAAAAACTGCGTAAAGTTGACTAGAAATATTTAAAATGGGGCTAGTGATGTTGATGTTTACTAATGCACAATCACTTAGAATTAGGGTTTTCCTAATAAGTCTACTATGACAATAATATAATTACATGTAAAGAAAGTTGGGAATTTTTCAGGGCACAAGCCACACATAATTCAAATTCTTTTTCCTTTTAGTTTTAAAAAGATAATACTAGAATTAATACCTAATTAATAACAATATGATGGAAATAATTCGAGATATTAAGCTAGAAATTTTAAACACATAAAATCAGCTAGCAAATCAAATTTAATTTTCACAACTTTGATTTCAATGGATCAAATTTTGACCAAATTCAAGGGCATAAAAATTTAATTTTTTAAATAAGATAGAATAGCGAACAAAAATTATAAATCAAGAAAAAATATGCCTCATGTTGGTACAATGAGATAATTTATCCTTGAATTAGATAGTTATATTTATACCACACTTAAAGCAATCACATCCAATTTCATTTCACAGGATTGAAATTGAAAAGTGAAATTTTATTCTAGCCAAAGTTTTTAATTACATGCCTCAAAATATCTATTTATAGTCTTTTCATCACTAGACTAATAGCTAATGAATATAGGATATATAGGGTCAACTTAATTCAAATTTAAATTAAGAACTCTTCAAGATCAAACCTCAATTTTGAAATTAAACCCTAATTTCTTATTTGAATAGGAAAGTTTGTTGATCTGTGATTTCTCTTGACAACAATCTTTTTGATTAACCTTTTTCTGATTCTTATTCTTATTCTGCCACTTTTCTTGTTCAACTGTGTATGTGCTTGTGTATTCTCATCATCTTTTGATCCGGTATCACTTTCAGCATGATTGCTTGAAAGCAACTTATTGAGAACTTTATTACTTTTAATCGGTGTTTGCTGTTTTGTTATTTGGAGAAAGTTTAATGATATTGATTTTATTATCAGGCAATTGGGGCTGAATATGGTGAAGGTTTTGAGACTTTTAGGTTGGATGGTCCTCTTAAGCTTGATGTGGTGATGATTCTCAGAACTTAGCTAGCGTACACTTGTATAAATTTATTTAGCATTAGTTCATTTTTTATGCTTTTTTCTGAATATTTTAATCTTGCTCTTGCACTTTTATTAATTTAGTATTTTTGTGCTAGGATTACTTAAATGAGAGATTGCAAGAATGTTTTCTCCAGAGGATACGGCATGCTATGAAACCTGATGAAGCTTTTGGACTTGTCTTCTCATGGGACAATGTTGTGGTATGTTTTTTTTTTAATGCTACATGACAGTCTCCTAGTAAAAGACTATTGCATATTTTGTCGAGTAAATTCACAAAACCCCTTCATGAAAAATTCTTTAACTGTGTATAAAGTAACAAGCAGCAAGTCAAATATAATGGATTTACATCCTCTACTTGTTAAATTTCTAGATCAGGATAGATGTAGATAAAATTTCTTCATCACGGAGGTATTATTATGCATGCATAGAAGTTTTCTTTTTTAACTGGTAATTTTTGTATCGTTGCTTCCTTCAATTTACTTCACCATGAGCCAAGACATTCATGGTCAAGAAATATTTGAAAAGCTAGCTTTGAATTTAGCAACTCAACAAAAACATGAGATTATCTTACATGTCTGTGCCAAATAATTTCCCAAGCTCAATAAAACTCATTTAAATAAGCCCTCCAATGCATCTTAGCAACTAGAGCTTATTTAGATTTATGATGAACTTTTGTGGGATACTTTTTAACACCTTGTTAAAATATAACATGTATTTGCAATAAAAAAGTAATGTAGACGCTTTCTTAATTTTTTGTCAAATCTAAATTTGCTCTAATCTATTTGAGTTAAGTTTCTATTAATGTAAATTGGATTCTAGTCATGTGAAAATTAGTAAAAACTATAGATGTTTGATATTTGATTTTAGCAAACTATGGTGGTTTTTTTTTGAAGATTTTAATTATGTCTATAAGAGGTTATGAGTTGAAATCATGACCCTATCATTACTTTTATTTTAATTTCAATTAACTCGGTTGTGGTTTGTGTTCTTGGAGGGGGTTGGGGTTGGCATAGTAGTGTTTTAAATGACAAATGGATTCATGGGATGGCCCCTAAACCTATTAAGGTTAATGCATTTAAGGTTAAATAAATTTGCACTAGCCCATTAAGATTTTCAAGTGTTTGGGCTCATTGATTGTCTGGGCCCATTGATGCCCTAAATAATGGGTTTTGTATTGAGTCTTCTTGGCCAATTCTGTAATTCTTGGCTGCCCTGCCAGTTCAATGATGCCCAAAATTGTGCAATGTCTGTGCTGAATCGATTCTTGTACATTGCAGGCTGATACCCGCTCCTTGAAGTTGGATGCTTGGAGACGACTTGCTTCTGAAGAGGGTAAGCCATTTTGGACGGGTGCTTCTGGTCATGATATGCATTTATCGTGTACATTATTTTATTTATCTGAACATCAAGGCATATCATGTGATGACTGTTACGAGGTTATACCTTGTTTATTTTTCTATATCTGAACTACATAATGAGTTGCTTAATTAGTCTCATGCGCTTGTGGACAAATGAAGTTTCCTTATTAGTTTTCCTTGTACTTAATGGACATGTATAATTGCTCTTGTTTTGTCTTCCCTCTTTACTTCATTACATTGATTCTCTAGATTTTCTCATTAAATTTGGAGCAAGAGTGTCGGCCTTTTTATTGTTCAACTTTCGTAGTTTGAAAAGGTGA